ACAAACTAATTTGTAAAATAAACTATTATTTTAATCGTGTTTTTAATGGTTTATAAATTGAACTAAGGAATGTACAGAGAAAAAAAGTTAATTGATGAAGGTGCATCCCACATCCATATGGGTAATATGATTTTTTTACTTTGAGTTATCTTATTTAGGTGAAGAAAAAACGATTGTGATGTAAACGACAATAGTAGACTTGCAAAGTCTAGTTTGCTTTTAGAGTTAGCTAATAAGGAGTCGGAAATTGTCCAAATACTTTTAAAAAGAAAATCAGTTTAGTGGTTATACCAGTTAGGTTTTAACCGGTTTTTGATTAAACCGTTGGTGTTTAGTGGTTCAACACAACCGGTTTTTGAGTCTTGTAGAATCGGTGACTCATCCAGTTCCATAATAATAACTTTTTTTTATTTATCATTTAAACACATTCTTTATATATTTGTCATAACAAATAATAACAAAAAGCTCATACAATCGTTGCATCATTGTAAAATTTACCAATCCACTTCCCCACCCTCCAATCCATACAGCATATATACAAGTCTACCTAGTCTCATCATACAGCCCATATAAACTCCTACTAAATAAGTTTTTACGCCCAACTAGTAAAGTTATGCCTACATGAACCTGTCACTCTTAAATCTTTAAATTAGATGTTAAGTTATTCTAATAAATTTTCATTATTTTTCAATTTAGTTTGATTGATTTTGAAAAGTTTCCGATATTATAGGTATTAACTTTGACTGGCAACAATTGTATGATACGCACCTTGAAGTATTGTTTAATGATTTGCAAATAATTTCTATTAGCAACTATTATTTCGGTGCGTATCTTATTTCTTATTTCTTATTTCTTATTTCACTATTAGCATATTATTTTGTATATATGTTGTAGGATTTGTTTGTTGCTGGCAACGATACGACGTCAAACTCTTTAGAATGGGCAATGACAGAGTTATTGTGCAATCCACACATCATGACGAAAGCTAAAAAAGAGCTCGAAGAAGTAGTTGGCAAAGGGAAAATTATAGAAGAGTCGGACATCTCAAGGCTACCTTACTTAGGTTGTATCGTGAAAGAAACCCTAAGGATTCATCCTCCAGTCCCTCTTTTGATCCCCCGAAAAATTCAAACCGAAGTGAAACTCAATGGCTACATTGTGCCCAAGGGCACACAGGTGCTTGTCAATGCATGGGCTATAGGGAGAGACTCAACTTTGTGGGATGACTCAATGAAGTTCATACCAGAAAGGTTCTTGACCTCAAGTCTTGATGTTCGGGGTCGTGACTTTGAGCTAATACCATTTGGTGCTGGACGAAGAATATGTCCTGGTTTGCCACTTGCAGTTCGTATGCTTCATGTGATGTTAGGATCACTACTCAATAATTTCGATTGGAACCTTGATGGTGGACTTGGGCATGACGAATTGGACATGAATGAAAAATTTGGAATCACCTTGCAAAAGGCTAACCCTCTTTGTGTTGTTCCAGTTCCGCTAAATTAGCTTATATACACTTACGTCATTTACTTTGCCTTTTCCTTTGGGCTAAATAAAAGATAATAAAAATGTAACATCCAACTTGCTTTTTTAATAATTATAATATATGAAACCGTAGATGCAATTTCTTGAAACCATTTGTAATCAATCTTCCAAATGATGTATCATAAATCCTTAAACTACAGTAAGAGTATTGTTGTTAAAATCCATAGTAACATATGAAATGTGTGGAACTCAAATCCCATAATTACATATTAAATGTCATAAAAACAATAATAGAGATAAATGTCTATGAGAATGTGTCGCGATCATAGTCATATCGGGTCCTT